CCTGGGTTCGATCCTCAACACCACATAAAAATGAATAAATAAAATAAAGGTCTTGTGTCCAACTACAAATAAAAAATAAATATTAAAAAAAAAAGAATGTCAATTCTAGGCCCAGGCTTTTAAGAAACAGATATGCCTTCTTCTCATCTTCTATCATATGAAAAATAAGCATGGCCATAGAGTTAAGGCAGAGCCATATAATGTATCACTACATAGAGAAAACAGCCTGCAACTCAAACACATCATAAATTTGTTATGGGAGTAAAACTAAATTCCTGTTTAAATATTTAGCATATGAAGTTTGGAAGTTCATTTGGACTACAAATAACTTTCTCCTGAGCAATTCAGAAACTGTTATCTTAAGGTACTGGCCTAAACAGAGATCTAAATAGGCATTGGTATATTTGTCAAGAGCAGGCAGCAAGAGAATACTTTTGGGATGGAAAATTTAAGATACATGAAAACAATGGCAAAACATTTAATAAAACTGTGGTCTGCAAAAGCTTGGAAAACAAACCATATAATTTTCAAGTTTGCATCTCTAGGGAAATAGCGCGAGAGAAAAAAAAGTAATACTGTGTGTTGGGTTTTATTTGTACTTAGAGGTCTCAAGAAAGTAATGAACTCACATGGAATCTATCTAAGTATCTATCTGTCGATGAATGGAATATATAATGGACTACATTTGGCCTTAAAAATCAAGGAAATCCTGCCATTTGCAACAACATGCATGAACTTGAAAGTCATTATGCTAAGTCAAATAAACCAAGAACAAAAAGATAACTGCTCCATGATTTCACTTTTGTTGTGGAATCTAAAAAAGTCAAGCTCATAGAAGCAGAGAGTAGAATGGTGGTTGCTAAGAGAAAGAATAGGCAGCAGCAGGTAATGGGAAGAGGCTGGACAACGGATACAAAATTTCAGTTAGAATGAATAAAATTTGGTGATCTATTGTAAAACATGGTAACTATTAATTAGATCTTCAATGTTCTCACCACACACACAAAAATAATAGATTAGTTGAATTTAATCATTTAACAACATATATATAGATCAAAACATCAAACTGTACCACAAGACAGATAAAAACTTTTAGTTGTCAATTATACCTTAATAAAGCTAGCAACAGAGAAATGAGAAGCGCAGGAAAGAATTAGTATGAATAGAGAAATGAAAGGCTATAGAAAGATTATAGTTAATGGAGGAACTCAGGGTTAGGAAAAGTGAAAGCCAACTGCTTCTAAACCCCAAAAGGTATAATGGAAAAAGATTTTGAGCAAAAATGTAATAAAGATTTTTGAGTTAAACAAAAGGACTAATCCTAAAACAAAGGTCAGATTAAGGGGGATAACTTCTAGTCACTGACTGCTTCAGATGGCCTCAAGTGCCAGCCCCCAGTGGAATATATAATGCCAAGTATGTGAGAAAACTAAGAGGTTAAAGGGGACCAGAAATCAACCACATAATATTCCATATATCTTTTAAATTTTTACTGAAAGTCAGTATGCTTCTCAATTCCACTAAAATGATTTCCTTTCTCTTTTAAAGAGATATAAGGGAGGGCTGGGGTTGTAGCTCAGTGGTACAGCGCTTGCCTGGCATATGTGAGGCCTTGGCTTCCATCCTTAGCACCACATATAAATAAATAAAAGATCTGTTGACAACTAAAAATATATATACTTTAAAAGAGAGAGAGAGATAAAAGGGAGCTGGATGTAGTGGCACATGCCTGTAATCTCAGCAGCTCAGGAGGCTAGGCAGGAGCACTGCCAGTTCAAAGCCAGCTTCAGCAACTTAGTGAAGCCCTAAGCAACTCAGTAAGACCCTATCTCTTAAACAAAATATAAAAAAGGGTTAAGAGATGTAGCTGTACGGTTAAGCTACCCTGGCTTCAATCCCCAGTACCAAAATAAAATAAAATAAGACCCCCTTCTTCATTCCTAAAAAATTCTCATTTCCTTCAAATATTTCAGGACTAATGAATAGAAGTGAGTAACTTGTTTATTTGAATGTTTAGCACTGAAAGGAAGGAGAAAGAGGGGATAATAGAGATCAGAAAACATGGATTAAGTAGCATGTTTTTGTTTTTGTTTTGTTTTTTAAGAGAGCTTTCCAAACTCTGTTTTCTACCATTTAGATGGGGTTTAAAATTTTCAATTCAATTTATAAAGTTGTACCTAACCCAGGGATATAATCAATATATAAAAGCAATTTGGATTCCATTATATAAATACAAATTTATAATGTTTATGCCCAAAAGAAATAGAGCCAATAGTTAATAAAATTAGAAAACCAAAGAAGTTATTAATCTTATTAATTAAGTTTAAATGAGATCAGAAGGGTGGGACCTAATCTTATAAGATTAGTGTCTTCATAAGAATACAACAGAGAGCTCAATGTCTCTGTCATCTGATGACACTGAGAAAATATGGTTGTTTGGATGCTAAGAAGAGGCCCTCATCAGGAATCTGATTAACTATAGCACCCTGATCTTGGGAATCCAGTCCTCCAGAACTATGATAAAATAAATTTCAATTGTTTCTGCCACCCATGCAGTGTAGGTAACAATTTCAAAAGCATGTCCCTAAGTAATTGTAATAACACCTTCATAAAAGTCTAATATGCCCCTAAGAGAATGACGCAGTCCTCACTGAAAACTAATGTATGAAGTAGATACCTACAATACCCAAGAAAATATGGAACACATACAGGAGAAGCCAATGATTCAGGTTGCAGTAAATGGTAGGATAGAAATGAGACTAAAAAACTGTGAGTATTTATGAGAGAAGCTGATTAGTATGCCTCCAGAGTAAAGAGAGTTAAGTTTAAGCTTAAAGAATAGATAAATACTCGGAAACTAGAAATCTTAAAAACAGCAGCAGCAAATACAACAAATATGGAGAAGTAGGAAACATAAAAAGAAGGATACTCAGGTGACATTATCCTTAACATATACCCTGTATTCCAACTAAACTAATAATTTCTCTTTTCCCCCAGGACATTGTACTAATTCAAAATTTCAAGATTTCTTCATATTCCTTTCCTTCTGGAGACACTCCTGTCTTTATTTTACTTTTTCCATGTTCAATGCTGTAGATTTACTTATATGAAAATTTACTTTAATATAATAACCTATCTTTCACACATTCACTGCCCTCTTCAAGTGAAGCCCTAAAAGTAAAGAATCCATAGGAGAAAGTAGAAGGTAAATAAAGATGGATTGAAGGGTAGTTCTTGAAGCACTACACTTGGAAGTGTTCCTATAACCTTATTTCTTTCTTTCTACATTTGGTTTACTTGCTTTCTCCTAATCCACTCACATGATTCACATATATTAGAAATATATACCATAGGTCAATATGCTAGATACTAGCAATTATCAATAAAAAGATCAATAAGGTCCAAGCTATCCTGGCACTTACTTTTAAAAAAGATGCTAATAAGGAAATAAATAAATGTTAAACTATAAATTACAGAAGATTATTTGAATGAAATAAACCAAGATCTTCTCTTAAAACAACTAAGAAAGCCTCCCCATGGATCAATGCAGGACACTGAACACCACACATATCAGTGTGCAGTGTGCCTATGGGCATGAGTATACACATTCATATTACACATATCAATGCATTTGTATATATGTGTATTTATCTATATATGAGTGAATAATCCTACATAACAAAGATGGGTCTGGACTAGATTAATTATGCCAGGTCCACACTCCCCTAAGGACAACCTTAAACAAGGAACAACCCTAGGCAAACACTATGTATGGACAGCCCTTTCTATATTTGCTATATGTATAGTCTATACCAATCAATGGCTCTCAAGTGAAAATCTTTAGAAAAAGGGGAAAGAGTACTCCCTAAGAATCACACAGAAGCTTGTTAAAAATGGGAAATTCCAGTCTCCATGCTCAGCAATCTCAATTTAGTAGGCCTTGAATAAATTATTATGAAGTTCCACCTGGATGATTCTGACACTGGTAGATTTTGGCCCCTTGTCAGGCAGGGCCTTGGCTCATGAACTGTTCAATATTTATTTTGTCACAGCCAAAGCATGGCAAAGTAATATGCTATTCAGTATCAGTAAGCACAAAATAGTTTTCAGGTAAAATAAATACAGCTATTAAAATTAAATCTGTAATTTTTGTTGTTTTCTCCAAGTATAATAACACTTATTATTAAAAAGCTTTTACTTAGGGACAGAAAAGGAACTGTAACAAGGTACTTCTCAAAATGTAGGACATGGTCTTAAGTTTTATGGCAGATGATTTAAAATGGTACCCAAAATGGTTTTAGATGGAACATAAGGATTATTCTAAATGGTACATGGATATACCTTAAATAACACTGACTCACAGGAAAAACTGCATTATCTTTTTAATTTTCTTTCAATCAGAAATCCTCAGCTATTGATATGTCTTTTACACCTCTTTATCATTGCTTGTCTCCTTTTAAGAAATAGAGAGCATGCCTTTGAATATTTGGTAAACACTAATATCTAGCCAGAATTTTGTAATGTTTTTCTGTTCTACTGCATTTTTAAGGCTATAATCCATTGCTGATAAAGCATTAGACACTGATTTTTCATTTGTAATAGTGTGGTAAATAAAAAGAAAGTAAATTTAAACCAAATAGAGTAAACTGAATACAGATGTTACAAAAACTATAGGGGTATTTGTTACTGACTGAGGTTGAAATTTCTTCTGTATGAAGTATTTCTAAAAGTAACAACCAATTTCTCTTTCTCTGTCATGCATAATAGTTAATTCAAATGAATAATCAAAAAGCACAAAATATTGGTAGGAAGACATTCAGTGAATGGCCTATTGCACCACTTGACAGAGCTGCCAAAATAATGACTTTCCATTATACGGCAATGATTGAGTTTGCATTTTACTAAATGGATATGATAATCCATGTCTGGCTGTATACATCAAAAATATGCTGGTGTCTGAAAGACAGGACAATTGCTATTCTGTAATTTATTCTACACACCTTATAATCCTTGGATCTGCAGCAGCCAAGATGGGAATGCTCTGAAAAAGGGATGTACAAAAGAATTAAAATTCGACAACAACAAAAAGAAAATTTGGTTTCATCTTTGATTTTTGCTATTATCATTGTTTGTATAATTATAATACATAGAAAAGATTTAGAAACACTTTAAAACACTTCAACAAAAATTCTTTCAACAAAGTTATATAAACAAAGATGATGAGGAAACAAATAAAAGAATTTGTACCAAGTGATTTCACAAATGCTATTTCTTAAATATGTGAATACAAACAGGAATAATTTTTAATCTGATAAGCCAATTTATCTAAACAAAATGAATAATATTTATTTGATAAACCAGTTTCTGATTAAATACCATTTTTACTTATAGATTTGACAGATATTATTGAACTACATGAGTTCCTACTCTTGGAATCCATGCCAGAAATCAGTAGGCGAATCCCACTCCTTGGTATATACCCAAGACTTAAAATCAGCATACTGCAGTTAAACAGCCACATCATTGTTTATAGCAGCTCAAATCACAATAGCTAAGCTATGGAATCAACCTAGGTGCCCTTCAACAGATGAATACAGAAAATGTGTGCCTACTTCAAACTTTTAAGAGATCTGTCCCCATAATCCTTTTGCAGCACGCATCCACCATTATTTATCCAGTGCCCATGAAATATTTTAAGGTTGGCCTCTGCTCTCATGTGAATCTCCATCAATCAAAGGGCAATGAGTTTATCATAAGTCAATTTCTATGAACACAAGCAATGCTAGGATATCCAGCTTTATAAAATAAAGCCAGGGTTTAATTTCTCTCAGGGGATACAAACTTCTAAAAAGGAAACACATATAACAAAGTGTTTCCTGTCTCTTGCTCACTTGTGCTTCATTACCCAAAACTGCTTATTCCACACTCTAATCTAGTCATCTCTGAGTATTCAATGGGGATTGATTCCAGGACCCCCTGTTGATAACAAAATTTGTGAATGGTCAAATGTCTTATAAAAAAGGCAGAGTATTTACATATAACCTATGCCTATCCTCCTAAATACATCTTCTCAAGATGACTTACACTATCTAAAACTATGCAAATGCTATACAAATAGTTCTTACATTAGAGAATAATGACAAAGAAAATCAGAACAGATTCTGTTACGCACACAATTTTTTTCTGCCAAATATTTTGGATCTATGGTTTATTGAACCCAGGGATGCAGAATCCATGGATACAGAGAGCTGACTGTATTTTTATCATTCTCATTCCTGTGGCTATCAAAATCTCAGTAACAAAAAATGTCACTTTCCCTATTTTTTCTTATCTGAAGTGAAGCACAAAGTAGGTTTCCTGCTAACCACTAACTGGAAGAGTAATACTCACCAAAGAATATGCAGAAATGGCTTATAAATTTTTTAAAAACTCAGTTCTATTAGTCATTAGGAAAACACAAATTAAAATCATGAGATAGGACTACTCACTCATTAGAATGGTTTAAAAAATGACAACACAAATTTTTTCAAGGATACCGTAAAATGAAATTTCATACATTGCTAGTGGGAATGTAAAATATGTGGCCATTCTGAAAAACAGTTGGCAATTTCTTAAAAAGTTAAACATAAACTTACCATATGAATCAGTAATTTCATTCTTGGTTTTATTCAAAAGAATGGACATATATCTACACAAAGACTTTGAAGAAAATGTTCAGAGTAGCTTTATTAGTAACAGCCAAAGGTAGAAATAATCCAGGAGCACAAGGAGGGAATGCAAATGAGATTAAGGAAGTTCTTGGGATGATAGAAATATTCTAAAAATGGATTGTTGTGGTGGTTTCCAACTGTGAAAATTTATTAAAAGTCATTTAATTGCACACTTAAAACAGGTGAATTTTATGGTATTCAAATTATACCTAAATGAAGCTATTAAAAATGTTGAATAAAAAAATAAAGAAATTAAACCAAAGAAGGATTCCTTAATAAATGATACTGTTTAGCTGCTTGTGCTTTATAAGAAACCCAAACAGGAACACTTTTAAATGAAAGCTGTGACAAATGAGATATTTTTTTAATAAGTATCTACATTATGACTACATGCTCTTTGATTCTAAAACATTAACATATTACCATTTATTGCTTTCTAATCAAGATGTAACAGATTAACATTTGGAATGCTATTTCTAATTTATTTTATTTTACAATAGTAACCATCAAACAAAGGGATTAGTTCCAGTTTGCAAAGGATTACAATCATATTTAGAAATAAAACTCATTAAAGAATCTTGAAGAGACTAAAAGAACTCCTCAAGGAGTTATTGTCTCAAATTCCTAACCAAAAAAAAAAAAAAAAAAGTGGGCAGGATGATGGCCCTTGGTCTTCAAATACAAAAATGAAAAGACAAAACTTCCAAATCAAACCAAACATTCTTGTATTACAAGAGATACTCTGTTTCTTCAAAAGGACTATAAAAATTACAATTAGAATATGCACCATAACAATCCAAATAGAAAAAAAAATGTATTTAAAAAGTAGGGAAAGTAGGAGAAGACTGTTGTAAAAAGAAGGAGCTTAGGCTAGAAGACCTAGTCTAGAGAGCATGCTCATTTTGTAACACTCCAACAAGTCACTTAACCTCTCTAAGCCCTTGTCATTTTTCTGGTTATATTTTTAATTAAATACATCTTCACATGATTTTTATGAGGACTCAAGGGATCTATGTCCAGGAAAATAATATCCTATGAAAACTTAAGAATTACTGAACAAGACAATTTGGCAAGAAAATGTTCAGAATTTTTTTTTTTTTTTAATACCAGGGATTGAACCCAGGAGCACTCAAACACTGAGCCAGATGCCAGCCCTAGCCCTTTTTTTTTGTTTTTATTTTGAGACAGGGTCTTGTTAAGTAGCTTAGGGCTTCATTAAGTTACTGAGGCTGGCTTTGAACTTGCAATCCTCCTGCCTCGGCCTCCCAAACTACGGGATTATAGGCATGCACTATAGCACCTGGTAAAAAGATTTTCTTTTAAAGTAAAATCATAAGTGAAAATTCACTATGTTTACAAGATCTGACCTTAAGAAATCCCCACCATGTACATAGTTGATATGTAAATAGGTTGAGAAACATGTAAATAGTTGAGAAAAACCCAAGACAGAAATAGCTCAGCTACCATACCCAGGACCAAAAAAAGAAGAAAAAAAAAAGGGGGGGGGGTGTCAAAATATAGAAGAACTAAAATAAGAGAAACAAGAAAGGAAAACTCGCCAGGCTCAGTGGTGTGTGCCTGTAATCCCAGAAGCTCAGGAGGCTGAGGCAGGAGGATCATGAGTTCAAAGCCAGCCTCAGCAAAAGCAAGGCACTAAAGAAGCAACTTAGTGAGATGCTGTCTCTATATAAAATATAAAATAGGGCTGGAGATGTGGCTCAGTGTTCGAGTACCCCTGAATTCAATCCCCAGTACCCCCCATCCCCCCCCCCCCAAAAAGGAAGGGGAAACTCTTCACAGTACAAAGCAAACAAATATGCAAAGAGCAATGGGAATTTTTAAAAAATTATAAACTGTTTTCAAGAAACAATCATCAACTTATGTGAAAAAGGTCAGTGTAGAAGTTTCAAAATCTCCAAGTATCTTCTCCACAATTATGAAGGAAAAAATAGCACCTTTATGCTGGAGAAACAGAGCAGAATCATTGGAATCAAGTGAGCAAAATAAACATTGCCAGTAACAAAGCAACACCACATACCTCCCTGATTCAATGCAATTCGAATGACATCACTTCTGTTGTATTCTGGGGAAAATAATCTAAATCTAATCATGAAGGAAAAAAAAATCAAACAAACCAAATTGAGGTACATCCTACAAAGTAATTGGCCCATGTTCTTCAAAATTATCACTGTCGTTAAACACAAAGGAAGACTAAAGAACTGATCCATAGTAAAGAAAATTAAAGAGACATGACAGCAGAATGCTGCCAAGGGATTTCTTTTGCTATGAAAATATTTAAGACAACTGATAAAATCTGGTTTTAAGTGGATGGATAAGTTAATATTATTATATCTTTGTTATTTTCTTACTTCTGGTAATTGCATCACACAAGATAATGTCTATATCAGTCTGTTCAGCCATTCTGCTCTAACAAAATACCACAGATTAAGTGACTCAAACAATAGAAATTTATCTCTCACAGTTCAGGAGGCTAGAAGTTGGAGATCTATGTGCCAGCATGGGCAGGTTTTATTGAGATTACTCTTCTTGGCTTGCAGATGGCTGCCTTCTTCCTGAGTCCCCTTCATGGCATTCAGAGAGAAAAAACAAGCTCCCTGGTCTTTTCTTAAAAGAACAATAATCCCACCATGAGGGCCCCACTCTCATCAGCTCATCTAGGCTGTTTCTGAATACCATTACTTCAGGTGTTAGGGCTTCAACATACAAATTATCAGGGAATGCAAATGAGTCCATCTTCATGTCCCCATCCAAAACATATGCAAACACATGATGGGAGAGTTACTTTCCACTGGTTGTTCATAAAGCTTTTTCCAAGTCCATAAGTTTCTTCCAAGAAGGGAAACAGTGTAACATCTGTTTCTTATTTCACATAATGTGCTATTCTGGATATAAAAGATTTATTGATTACCATACATCTATGTCCTGTTAATGCTAAAAAACAATCAAAAAAATAAGCATAAACTGCATGTTCTCAGAAAAGAATGTCTCATTTCCTCATTTGAAAAAAAAGATTCTACACTTTAATTTAGAAACAAGTTAGCTCTCTACATGTTATGATTCTATTTTTCTTTCACTGTATTTCATTTTTCTTCTATTACTTTTTCAGTGAGTAGTAAATTATTTATTTATCTATTTATTTTTGGTATTGGGGATTAAACCCAGGGCACTTACCACTTACCTACTCCCTAGTCCTTTTTTACTTTTTAATTTTGAGACAGGGTCTCACTAAGTTGCCCAGGCTGGCCTCTAAACTTGTAATTCTCCTGCCTCAGCCTCCTGAGATACTGGGTTTATAGACATGAGCCACTTTTTCCTGTAAGTAGTAAATTAACCTTAAAGGCTCCTAGTGAATACTTGAATGAATGCACTAGCCACTGTCTCCAGATATTAACAAACATCCTTCATTATACAGTGTTATTTATATTTCTTCATAAAAATCATCTTTATATTGAACTTAAGGAGAAAGCTGTCTAACTATAATGCCTGGGGCAAAAGATTAAGGAAAAAAACTTTTAACTTAAATAACATTACAGAAAATATAAGGGTACCACCAACCTAGTGGTGAAGGCACCAACTTCCTTAACAAGCCCCCTAACACTCAAGAAGTAAAACCAAGGTTCAATAAGTGGGATGGCATCAAATTAAAAAGCTTCTCCACAGCAAAGGAAACAAGAATGTGAAGAGAGAGGCCACAAAATCTTTGCCAGCTAATTTTCCATGAAGAGGAAATGAGTTCTTTCTATATTCTGAATATAGAAAGAATTCAAAAAACATAACACACACACAAAACAAAACAAAAAAAGAAAAGAAAAAACCAACCAAATAATCAAGAAATAGGTAAAAGACCTGAATAGATATTTCAATACAAATTACCAAAAAATATGAAAAAAAATGTTTGACATCCTTAGCAATCAGGAAAATGTAAATCAAAACTACACGATTTTATCTTTTTAGAAAAATATATAATAATTCTTATAATTATATCGAAAGCTGATCCCTATTACATGCTAAGGCATATAGTATGTTAACATTTCCCATATTATACTCCTTCTTTATATAATATGTTGATTATCAAAAGAGTTAAAATTATTTTTTAAGAATGTCATAAGTGATAGAACAAGCATTCAAATATCTATCTAAATATAGGATCAAAACCCATAACCCTGATCTTTCTACTACTGTGTATCCCAAAAACTGTTCTACAACTTGATTAATTCTATTTAACTCAGGTTACGAAGAGAAAAGTGTCCCATAATGAAATAAAATGTTGAAAAGAACAAAAAGAAAATGTTGAATAGAACAAAATTAACCAAGTTACATTTTACTAGAAGATATCATAATCTTTAAAATACTAAAAGTATTTTTAATCTCAAAGAAGGACATGGTTTGTAGCAACACAGAAATTTCTTATTTTTAGGGAGTACCAATATGGATGCTCAACAAGTCATAAAAAGCTATACTTTACCACATCATACAATAAAACAGCAAAGTATCTGCTTTCCATAACCGATGCCAAGTTAAAGTCCCAATTGTACCTCAGATAACTAAATTAATGAAGAAAGATAACTCCTAGCTTACCATTGTGCATCCTGGACCATCCATCTCTTTCACAGTCTCTACCAGAGGATCCAAATAAAGTATCAGTCCTGGGACTTGGAGGATCAACCTAATGTAAGCAAGATTTTCAAGATAAAAAAAAAAAAGCTTAAACATTCCCAGTCTTCACACACTACAAGTTTAGTCAAGTATTCTGCTATACATTTTTAAACAAATTGAAATTAAATTCCCCCAAATTTTATATATATATACGTATATATTTATATATACACATAAATATTTATGTTGACTTTATATGAACAGATTTGCACTTGAAATATCCACTATATCACTGCCTTGTTTGTTTTGCATTACAATGTTTAAAAAAGAGCAATCAAACTTATTTATAAAACAAATTTATCCATTGGCTGATTATCTCCTTAGCATATATATTTTGAATTCAAACTGTTTCTCCTTGGCTGTGTTCAAAGCCCAGCATGCTAAGTGCTTTATAATTTACAGATAATAACAGTCAAACACATTTTTAAACTAAAAATAGAATGATATAAAAGTGTAAAAATAATTAAAATTATTAAAATAATTTTAATAAAAAATTAAAATTTTTGTGCACCAAAAAGAGGAATAGAAAACCAACCCATGGAGTCAGAGAAAGCATCTATAAATCCTACAACTCAACAACAAACTATAGCAGAAAATGGACAAAAGGCTTGAGGAGACAAATCTCCAAAGAACACAGACACAGGAAAAGATGCTCAACATCATTAGTCATAATGGAAATGCAAACCAAAATCACAGTGAGACACCATACACACTAAGATGGCTATAAGAAAAACAAAACAGGGCTGGATGTGTAGTTTAGGGTAGAGTGTTTGCCTATCATGCAAACAGCCCTGGGTTAGATCCCCAGCAACAGAAACACAAATAAACAAAAAACCCAAACAACAACAGGAAAAAAAAAAAAAAAACTACACACACACACATAAAAAAAAAAAAAAAACAGAATGTGGAGAAACATAACATTGCTGGTGTTGATACAGCCACTACACTTTGCCAAGTTAAGAATTAAATTACCTTATGATACAGCAAATCTACTATTAGATATTTACCCGAAAGATTGAAAACCTTGTAAAATTTGTGCACAAATGATTCATGGAAGCACTATATATAATAACCAAAAGCTAAAACCAACGCAAATGCCCATCAACAGATGAATGGATAAAACAAAACATAGCATATATTCTTCAATAGAATATTATTCAGTCACAAGAAAAGAACCAAGTAGGAATACATGTAACATAGATGAACACCAAAAGCACTGTGCTAAGATAAAAATGCCAGATATAAAAAGCTAATATTGTATGAGTACATTCACATGAAATGATTGAACAGGCAAATTCATAGAGAGAAAGCAGATTGGTGGTGTCCAAGGTCAAGGTTAGGGATGAATGGGGAGTGAATACTTCATGAGTACGAGTTTTCTATTTATGGTGATGAAAATGTTCTGAAACCAGATGGTTGCACAACATTGTGAATATCCTTACTACCACTGATTTGTACATTTTAAAATAGTTAAATTATCTATTTTATAATAGGTATATTTTAACATAATAGAAAAATTACATGCATAAATGAAAAATAAAAAGGCATTGTATAACTCTTCTAGGATGGTTGTGACAGTTTGGAAGCATATTAATTTATTCCTTAAATCAGCTTCTTTAAAGATAGATTATTTTTCATACCATGAACTATTTGTCTTTCCTAAAAGTGTTAACATTTTAAATATGCATGTATCAAGTTAAAGTTCGGTTACCAATTTGCTAGTGTTTTTTAAACAATAAATGGTCATAGAGGAAAAATAACTCTTTTTAATATATACATTTGGAAAAAATCCAGTTTTCTATTCAATAATGTCTAAGTATAGACTTAGAAGAATGTACTTCTATTCAAAGAAAATTTGAGGGAAAAACCACTTAAATAAAAATTGCAAAGTTTATGCCAAGCAATATTAGAATTATCTCATTTTTAACATTGCCATGAAAAGTAATAATGAAACAAACATTTAAGAGCAGTCATTTCTCCAATGTTTTTTATGTGTAACCCAATAAACTTGTTTACTTTGTACAGATACATTTATTAAGATGCTATTATTTACTTAGACTATAATACATTCATTCAAATTAATTTGTAATTGTGGGTAGACATAAAATGAAAGTCATTCTAAAACTGCCATCAATCATACAACAAAACACTACCACTGTATTGTAATAAGAAAAAAGAAAAAATTTGAATGTTTTTCAAATGAAAACAAAAAATGTGACCAGAACATATAATCAAAATCTATAAAATTCAGACAAATGTAATCATAAAAACCTTAATAAAATATTATCTTTTAAATGTATCTATTACAATATAAATTTTATTTTTTACAGTTAAAAATCCATTACTTTGGTTTAAAAGAATAAAGAATTGATAGTTGAAATATAAAGGTGGAATAAAATGTTGCTTAAGGAACATTTAAATTGTCATTAAAATGTATAACAAAGAAAAATCTGAACTTTCAGATGGTGATTATTATAATATTAATATTATTAGGTCACCAAAGAAGTATATTTATATGTTGGATCAACTAATTTTAGAATTTAGAGACTTGAAAATATTTTAGACCTATCCAAAATGTGGTCTTGCTGTTATAGAAAAATCTTGAGGTTTGAAACTATATATAGTAATGTATTACTTAGTATTCTTTATTAATTTGAAAGCTTTTGGTAAAGAATTGCTTTTAGGGTTAAAACACTTTATAAAAATTCAGAAATCTATGAAGATTCTGATAGTATTTTATTGAATATTCCAATTATACACCCTTAAACTTGGCCAGAATCATTTGACTACTACAAGGGAACAAGGTTCTAAATTTCAACCACATGAAAAGCATGCTTCTATATTGAAAGATCAGTATACCCTGCCTTTAAGTCAACATAGGCCTTCCTATGCATCCCTATCAAACACTGATTTGCATCAAAGATTCATTATACAAAGCTTTCTCAAAGGACATAATTTCAAAAGACACCAACTTTCCATTACAAAATTTTTAAAAAACTGGAATAGGTAGGGGTCTTCCTTTTCATAAAGAATATTTGGTCCTCCTTTAAAATCCTAGTCTCATTTTGGTGTTAATGTCAATGACAACCAAGTTCAATTTGTAGAGTTATTAAACTGCTATATAAGAAGAAAGGAAATGGATACTCAGAGGATTTAACATGGCATTCAAAATGGAGCTTGATCTCTGTCAGGTATAAAGACTGAAAAAGTATGTTCTTTTATGTTAATTTTTCATTTTAGATTAGTGGCTAACCCAGTTCAGGAAAGAATTATAATTAATACAAACTAGAAATTGAAAGACATTTTAGAAAAACATTCTAGTGGCACAACAGATATGGTCAGTTTCAAATGGAAATGCTTAGGAGAGTACATACATGTCTAATCACAAATGGAGGTTTATCTGTTTCTTTTTTAAATTCATACGGCCCCAGATTTAAATGGGCCAGCCGCCGCCTGGTGTCTTCCGATAGCTCACACATGCGTCTTTTTGTGTAGGGAGATGGAGAGTGTGATTTTGAAGAAATTGTAGGCTGTTCGTAGCTTTTTGCATTTACACAATATTTATTTCTCTCAGGTGACTTGGACTTTTTCTTTTGTGATCTAGATGTTCTACTTTGCAGTCTGCCCTGTGATTTTTCAACTGGAGCCGAATGGTAAATAAATTTATCCTAAACACAAAAAATAAAAATTAACTTGGACAGAAGATATTTTTTAAAATCCTACAGGTAGAAAAAAACTTTTAAAGTAATTTAACTAAGACACCAAAAAAATCTATCAAAGCCAACTGTATCATCAGTCTTTCCTGTGCTAATCCTGGGGAGATGTCAAATCAGTATTCTACAAGATAACTCTTTGTATAGTGGTTGATAAAGTATATTGTATCAAAATTCCTTCTTAAGTCTAAGAAGTACTTTATGAAAATTAAAGCCCAATATTTAATCATTTTAAAAATCCAAGAAACAAAATCAGAAAAAGTTGTTTTTCAGTATACTAAAATATTAATGCAAACATTGGGTATCATTTATATTTAAATATTCAAATATATAGGCTATACAATTTATAAGAACTATGTTAAATATTGTTAAAAGTACACATATCCAATTAGTTTATTATGAAATTATTATGAAAACTGGAAAAATAAGTTTCATTCATCCTACTATAATCATGTAAGTATGTCCAGCATGAATCTGAAGAAGTACTTTATACCTATTTTAATGCAATGTATTGTTTTGGTTACATAAGGTAGAAAGGATTTTAAGAGCCCTTCCAAGCTATAATTTTACAGATAAATGATAGATAACCATACCATTTTAATTATGGTTCCATATTTTTATAAAAGTAAAAATGTATAAAAAGCATATAAACTTTAATAACTAGCAGTTTGTGTTGTTGTAAACTGGGAAGCAGTCAGTTTTTGAAGTTATAAAGCAAACTTTAGCCAGGCATGGTGGCAAGTGTCTGTAGCCCCAGCTACTTGGGAGTGGAGGCAGGAGGATGGCAAGCACTCAGGAATTTGAGACTAGTCTGGACAACACAATGAGACACCCCCCCCCCTCTAATTTTGTTGTGTTATTAGAATTAACATTTTATTTTAAAAGATTCTGTCTTTATAGATGACTTAATAGTTGGATTACAAGTAATGTCAGATTTCTTCATTATCTAATGTTATAAGAAGCTTTTCAATTAAGAGAAAATGAACAGTTGAGAATCTTCAAATGTTTTCCTAACTTTAATCATTTGTAAAAACCAATAATCCTATCTCCTTCCATACTTCTTCAATTGCACTTCAATTCCACAATTGCTAAGAGTGTCTAAGCAAATAAAATACTAATGTGAATAGAAGGGAGAAGAATAAATAAACTTTTTAAAATAGATAGGCCGGGCATGTGCCGCTCACCTATAATCCCAGTGACTCAGGAGGCTGAGACAGGATAATTGCAAGTTCAAAGCCAGGCCCTAAGCAACTGAGCAAGACCCTATCTCAAAAAAAAAGAGGGGGGCTGGGGTTGTGGCTAAAGTGGTTGAGCACCCCTAGGTTCAATCCCCAGCACCAAAAAACAAAAAAACCCAAAACAATTTAAATTTTTTTTAATTTAAAAAATAAGATAGTATATAGGAATGAAAATATTTTTTTCTAAATAGAAAAATAAGTGTTATGAATTTCATACAGACCATCTGCATCAAATTGTTTCATCTTTCTTTCTTCTGTAGTTCTTGTTAAATTCATGGACCTCTCCCACTTTGTTCAATGCCTTCAAAAGTTCAGAATTTTTCTCTTTACCCTCATCCACCTTTATGACATCATCCTGACTCATAGAAGAAAGGATTCTAGCACTAGAATGAATCTTTGAGATTAACTAAGACATTCACTCAATATCTTTGAAAGATCTTGGCATTGGGGTTCCTGTTTCTCAGCTTTATTTCTTCTACAGCATCTTGGATTTCATCAATATACACACATCCAAAGCATCCCCAACTGTTCAAATCTCTTGCTCACCTAAAGCTCTTTTCCTCAACCTACTTCTTTCACTGAGTCTTTACTTGCCTTCATAACCTCCTAGTACCTAGACCTATTTGCTGTGGTCCTTTATACCTTTTTAGTATCCAGACCCAGCTGACCTCATAATTATCCCTGTTAGCAATACTTAAAGTTCCTTCTTACATACCCAACTCTGATTATACCAAACCTTGAATAACTAACCATCTCTTCTCTCTTCATTAAAGTTTTTGAATGCTGCATACCATTAGAGGAAATAATAAACTACATAGTATCTACTAAAAATACATGCTGTCTAAATCCTACTCATTCCTTAATGCATTCTGTTCATGCCTAATAAGATTTAAATTAGGGCTGTGCTATACTGTTTACAAAATGACTGCCTAATTTCCTTTCCTGTATCTACACCTAAGATAGCTCTTCCTCCTATGATATCCCTGTTTGGCCACGTAGCTTCCTTTGGCCAAAAGGGTCAATAGCACATTTGGTTTAAGGAGAGACTTGAAATGCGGTTGTCCACTCTTAACTCCTGAAAACCTTATTGCCTTTACATCAATGAAATAGACATCTCCCTTAATTATTTTTTTTAAATGGCCTTATCAACATTCACAGAATTCATTAATGATATGTTATATGCCAGGCACATTGAATATATTCCCTAACTTAATCTTTAGAGCTGGTTTAAAAAGAACTCAAACTCAGAAGATCTATTTCTAAAGCATACTTTCTTAATGTTTTTTTGTTTTTGTTTGGGGCCTGGGAATTGAACTCAGGACCTCACACATACTAGGCCAAGTGCCCTACCCTTGAGCTACATCTATAGACCTAAAGCTAAATTTTCTTAAACAAGTCTTACACTGAAGCCTATTATCTCACATCCTGACCAAAAAATACCCCAAAACAATGAAATTCCAAGTAAAAAAAAAGAGAGAGAGAGAGAGAACATTGCCAATAATTTTCAATGAAAAATGTTAGTTTTTCAGTGCAAAGAAACTACTGATGGGTGAGGGCTTTGCATTTAGAAAGGGCTCTTCCACTAAGCGAGCTGTACAGTTAGAAAGTCTACACTTTTCTGCGTGGATATTATACTTCAAACAAAAAGCTTTCCTACCTATCCATCAGATGGAGAACATCAGCAATTTAGAAAGATCTTGTCTCAAAATAAAAAAATAAAAAGGACTGGGGATGTTATTCAATGGTAAAGTGCCCTTGGGTTTAGTATCAGGTACCATTGGTATACACAAATACATTCTCTCTCTCTCTCTCTCTCTCTCTCTCTCTCACACACACACACACACACATCTCAAAAAAAGTAAAACATCTCTGTAAGTGGCAAACAGATTTTTAGGTACCTAACAGATGTGTTCAATTTGTATGTAAGAAATGAATAACTACAGTATGACTCTGAAATACTAAATATCTTGCTAAACAAAATAAATCTATATCTAAAGCCCAGTGTTGTAGCTCACACTTGTAGTCCAAACTGCTTTAGAGAATAAGGTGGGAATATTGCTTGAGTCCAGGAATTTGAAATAAGCCTGAGCATGATGATGAGGACCCCCCCTCTCAAAAAATAAGAACAACAATAATAATTCTATGGCTATACTTTACCTCTCTGGGCTTAGACGGTAGGTATCATCCTTAGCAAAATTTACTTAAAAACTGGTGGTACAGTAAACGAACATCCTACTCCTCCATGATAGGCCCAGGACTGGCCTATTGAATCCTCAGGGCTTCATATATTACTGGTCTTTCATCACAGATATGTCATAGTTACCTAGTCATAATGCAACTGTACAAGTGGGTGCCTAGATACTATTAGATACCCTGTGGAGAGGTGGTATGTCCATCATCAGACCACCCTCTTAGTTAGAAGTTTGACCAGAATGGATATCTTAGCTTATCAAAGACGGTTTTCACAAACAGAAGGTATTTAGGCTAGAATGTCTAAGCATTCATTCTTTGAAGCACCAGTATGGTCGCTAAACTGAGTAACAGTCCCTCAGGGAACAAGACATTCAAGAAACTACCTGCACTAAACACCCATATAACAGTCTGAGAACTTCTGTCACATTTGCTAAAAGGTATCCTTGAAACTTCATACAGGAATCTGTAACTTATATAAGACATTTGGAAGTCTCCAGTCTAATATTCTACAGGACATCTTTTTCCAACACCTTTCTGGCAGCCTAATTTCCTTGCATTAAAAAAAATAATAATAAGCCATTAAGTAAAAATAGAGAAGGCAAAAACATCCTGGCACCTCTATCATGTGTACCAAGCTTTTCATTCTCGCATTTAATAAGATGTAACCAAACTTAAATACTTTAGTTAATTGTTTTAAACTAAAGATTAAAAAAAGAAATTGAAAAGAACTGTAGCCAAAAAGCAAGATAAAGTTTACAAAACAGCCATAAATATGAACAAATAAATTATTCAATACTTTAAATAACTAATTTTAACCTGAGTGCGGCACTTCCTTGAACTTATCAAACATTCAGTAATCACTGAAGTTGTAGAAAATTCCAGCTTTGGAGCAATTCCCTGGGAGGGAAAAAAGAGAGTTGTTAGACTTTCCATTTAAAGTAGATAATTGTTAGTGATGGCTTAAAGTAACAACTACTTGTCAAGTCCAGGACTTTGTTAGTTTGAACTTTAATTAAAGATCAAAACAATACAGCAGTGCCAAATTTTAGCTAGAAAGTGTTTTATCCATGATGATTTAATTATAAGTGATTATATTTTTATGGAATAATTAAGATTCTTTTTACCAGTATCATAGTATTTCCCTGTTGAAATGTTTTAAGATTTGTAAATTATGATATAATATTAAGGTAAAAATGTGATATTATACATAATGGACTTCAGTTCTTTTAACTTTAACAACTTAGGACATGTTTAACTATACAATCAAGAAATTGAACTAATGTATAACACACTAATAAAATTAAAATAAACTGAAGAAAACAACTACTGTAAAAATTAAAATGAAAAATCAATATGTGTATTAGATTTAGTTATTCCAAACGTACACGTATATCAACATCATACTGTATATCATAGATACATACAATATTGTCAATTAAAACTTTAAAAAAACAAATACTTTAGACTTAGGAGGCTGAGACAGGAGGATGGTAAGTTCAAGGTAACTCAGTGAGACCTTGTCTCAAAATAAAAAATAAAAAGGGCTAGGGATAAAGCTCAGTGGAAGAGTGCTCCCAGGTTCAACAGCCCATTTCACAGAATGAATAATGAATTAATCAGAGAAAGACTCTGAATAGTCTTTAAAAACTTAAAGAAACTCACAGCTCCTAGGTATGCAGTTTTTTTTCTTTTTTTGAAAATAAAAGATAAGTCTCTACCAATTCTTTCAACCTTTTTATCCTGTAATATAGCAGATATTAAGGTCTATAGAATTTGGCTTCTATTACTAATTCATCAGCTTGAACACAGTTCTGAGATAAGTGGAGACAAAGGGGTAGTCACAATTACCTGAGAAAATATTTGGTATGCACACAACCAAACATTAAAGAGTAACACCCACGCCCAGAGCAGTTTCATTCTAATATAATGGGAGAGAGAAGCAGACATTTAACATGGCCTCTACGTATGGACTATACAAACCCCACTTGTGACAAACCGAGTTTAAAGTTTCGAATATCACACCTATAACAGGAAAGGTAAATATAAATTGCCTACAAATAGTTTGTTTTCTTCAAACACCTTTTATTAGTAACATCTACTCTACCAGCTTGTAAGTTATCTATTACTATGTATCACTCCAAAACTTGCAATATAAAACATTAGTAATTACTTATTATCTCACATATTTTCTAATGATCAGGAATCTGGTAAAAGATTGATTTGGATGTCTCTGACTAAGAATCTCTTCTGAAATTGGAGTTACAATGTCACTAGGGCTGCAGTTATATGGAGGTTTGACTGGTGCTAGAGAATCTATTTCCCAAGGAGGTTTATTCACATGACTGTGAGATGGAAGCTTCAGTCTCCTTGCAGTTTTGGGGCAAGATTCACCTTTTTATCATATATATCTCTATACTGTTGCTGAGTATCTTCATGACAATGACTGGTTTCCCCAAAGTGAATGATCCATGGCAAAGCAAGAAGAAAGCTATAATGAACAGTCTCAGAAGACAAATACTGTTACTTCCACATTTTCCTTTTTAGATTCACTAAGTACAGACCATACTCAAGGACAGAGGAGTTGGATACCTTTTCAGTGAAGGACTTATCAAAAAAAATTGTAAATAGAATTGCAAGGCGGGGTGGTGTACACCTGTAATCCCAGTGCCTCTGGAGGCTGAAACAGTAAAATGTCAAGTTTGAGGCTAGCCTCAGCAATTTAGCAAGGTACTAGAAACTTAGTGAGACTTTGTTTCAAAATTAAAAATAAATTTTAAAAAAGGACTGGGAATGTAGTTAAGTTGTAAAGTGTCCCAATTAAAAAAAAAAAAAATTGTCCATAGGTCTAAAACCACCAGTCTGTCTCTGACCACAAAATACATTTATTTCACAGATTAAAAAAAGGGGGAAGAAAGGTATTCTTATCATTTTACAATGTCAACTTGAAATCCACACTGTTGGCACATAAATCATATCCTGGTATAGGTAAGGTTCTTCAGGTGCCTTTCAGAACAGCTCCAAAAATATAGTGCTTCACCATCAGATGACCTACAAACTACAATTATCTACAACACAAATATTCAACGTACACAAGTATAGCAAGCACAAGGCAATTACTATAGATATTCTTGTTCAAAAAGTAAAAAAACAAGAGGTAAACAGGGATCACTGGTCCATAACAATTCTGAAATCCAGCCAGAAAAATTTTTAAAGTTCCTCGATTAGGACTTAATCCTACTACTACTCAGAAATATCCATAGTACTTGGTATGACATTCTTGCCTCTTCCATTATCTGACTCATATTAATTTGAAACAGGATATAGATAAAGCTATGAAGTGTTCTGAGCTTGGGTTCTATGAAAAGAACACTGAGGTTACAAAAGCATTTTCATTTTGTATGTCTCTCTTCATTTCAGACCAAACTGGTGGCATTTTTGCCAACACAATGCTCTTTTATGTTTTACATTTCCTTCCTTCCTTCCTTCCTTCCTTCCTTCCTTCCTTCCTTCCTTCCTTCCTTTTTTAAGATAAGTGCCACACCCTTCTGTTGTTATCCTTCTGAGGTTGCTGAGAGACAATGCTCTTAAGCATCTTAGAAAATCTATGTTTTGTTTTTTTATCCTTTTAATTATATATAACAATTCTTTTTGACATGATTATAAAATCATGGAATATAATTTGTTGTAATTCAGTCCCAATACCTCCCCTTCTTCCTTCCCCTATTCCCTTCCCTTTACTGATTTGTCTGCTATATACTTAGTTTTTTTTTTTTTTTTAATTAGTGTCTTGTGAATATACATGATGGTGAGACTCACTGTGGTACATTCACATATGTATAAGGGAAAATCAGGTCAGATTCATTCATTGTTCTTTCCTTATCCCATCCCACCTCACTCTCCTTAATTCCCTTTCATTCTACTCCACTGGTCTTCTTCTGTTTTATTTTGTTTTGTCTTGTTTTTTTCCTCAGATAGGATATCAATATCCAGAATATACAAAGAACTCTGTAGGGATTCTGACCATGGAAATCTACAGGTAAGAGTTCCCTGGTAAGCAAACTCCTGGGAGGTAACAGGCACCCTGTTTCCCACCTTAGATTGCCGTGCAATCTCTCTTAGGATCTAGTAATAGCTAATATACGTACAATGACTAGCTGGTATGGCAATGCCCTAAGAAGCCTGTGAGTTAGAGCCTCATCAAGCCTTGACCTTGATTGCAGGCACATAGCTCCTGGGAATGAAAGAACTTGTTTGCTAGACAACTACAATGTTTCATCAAGTTCTGGTGCTCCTCCATATGCCTGCCTAACAGTAACATCAGACAATGGACTTTCTTGAGAACTGCACAAAGGTCATAACATTGCATATTGTAACTGTGAAATGTAACTGCAGAATAAGCAACCTTACTGATACTCTAAACAATATGTAGTTATGGTACTAATGACCTAATGTAACCTATTAATATAAATAAAGTTTGGCAGCTTAGTCTCTCAGCCACTCTGCCACCTTCCCTGCCTCTGTACCTTTGTCTCTGTATCCTCTTTATTATTATTCCTTACATAACTCAAAAAACTTAACGTCAAAAAAATCAATGAACAGGGCAAAAGAACTGAATAGACACTTCTCAAAAGAAGAAATACAAATAGTCAACAAATATATTTTTTTAAATGTTCAACATTCTAGGAATTAGGGAAATGCTAATTAAAACTGCATTGAGAGGGCTGGGGTTGTGGCTCAGCCGTAGAGCACTCGCCTCGCACATGTGAGACCCTGGGTTCAATCCTTAGCACCACATAAAAATAAACAAAATAAAGATACTGTGTCCATGTATAACTAAAAAATTTTTAAAAAACTGCATTGAGATTTCATCTCATTCCAGTCAGAGAAGCAATTATTAAGAATACAAATAACAATAAACGTTGGCAAGGATGTGGGGAAAAGGTACACTCATACATTGTTGGTGGGACTGAAAATTAGTACAAATACTCTGGAAAACAGTATGGAGATTCCTCAAAACACTGAATGGAACCACCATATGACCCATATGACCCACCATATGACCAGTTATGCCACCCTTTGGTATGTATCCAAAGGATTTAAAATCAGTATACTACACTGAAGCAGCCACATCAGTGTTTATAACAGCACAATTCACAATATCCAAGCTATACAACAAGTCTAGATTTTCCTTCAATGGATGAATGTATAAAGGAAATGTGGTATATTTGACATAAAGAAAAATGACATTATGCCATTTGGTGGTAAATCAATGGAACTGGGGACTACCATGATAAGTGAAAAAGCCAGTCTTTGAAAGTCAAAGGTCGAATATTCTCTCTAATATGCTGTGGCTAATTCAAAATAAAAGGGGATTAAAAAAATAGAAGAAAATCTATGTTTGATTAAGTGATTTTCTAAGGCATTGTGCTGGATCTTTCTGGAGGTTTAATTGAGGATTTTGTAGTTTTTATCTTCAGTTTTACTATTAGAACATATTTTTCTGAAAGTGGCCTGAAATAATTTTTATTCAGAAGTCATTTCTTAATTTTAGTATTCTAATGAGAAAGTTGGAAACATTAAATTACATCTTTTTAAAAACAGCCTTTCCTTTTGCTTCTCTCTCTCTCCTCTCATATTATGCTTTAAATACCAAAAAGAAACCAGAAAACCCTTCTAACAGTCAGTCTGAAAGCCTCTTTGGAAAGACACCTATTTCATAAAATATCCTTTACACATTCCACATTATTGCAGGTGACAAATGTGTTGTTAAAATTCTGTCATTACAAAACAAGAATTCCCTGTTTTGCTAGTTTCCAATAACATCATCCTCACTTCCTGCAAATGCTTATCTGACAATTTCTTCAAGGACCCTCAAGTTTTCACAAACACTATAAAAAAATCCCTCCAGCTTCTGTCTTTTCCATAGAGCTGCTTGAGTGTCCTTGCATACCACAATAGGCTTCTACCAGAGTGGGTGATCCCAGAGAGTTATGGAAGAAGTCCCAGTGCATTTAATGAGCTAGTCTTTACCTCTTAGTCACAAGATACAATGACTTAATAGGAATGGGACTATTTCTGTCTTTGGAAGAGAAGAGTAACAAAGAATTTCTGGATATACAGTCATGTGTTACTATGATGGTGCTTCATCCTTAGAAATGTGCATTAGGCAATTTTATAGAGTGAAAAATCAGTATACTTACACAAACTGGAAGGTATGGCCTACTGCATACCTAGTCATATGGTATGGCCACCATTGTATATGCAGTCTATCATTGACTGAAACATTACTATGCAGTACATGACTGTATTTTATATTATCACTGCCTGAACTGTGATTTATCACTTTAACCCTACCCATATATTGCTGGTCACATAGAAAGTACTCAATATTTTAGCATTTTTTTACTGACCTTTTAAATCCCAGCACTATCTGTAGCTCCAGAAAAATAGAACTAAAATAACCTGACGGTTTGGATCTGTCCTCTCAAAGTCTCATGTGCTTAAAGGCAGGGCTTTGGGGAAGAGATTAGATCATGGGGACTCTCTTATCGGTGGATTTAATTCATTGATGCCAAGGGAGTAGGATCTAGTTGGAGGAATTAGGTCAAAGGAGTTATGCTCTGGAAGATTTTATCCTCTCTCTGGCTCTCTGCTTTCTGGCTGCCATAAACTGAGCAGCTTTCTTAAGCCACACCCTTCCACCACAAAGTTCTGCCTGATCTCAGGCCAGAGCAATGGAGTCTGCTGACCATGAACTGAGACCTCTGAAATCATGAATCAAAATAAACTTTAAACTTTCCTCTTCTAAGTTGGTCTTGTCAGATATTTTGAACCCAGTGATTATAAGCTAACACACACAAGGACTGTATGTATATATATATATATATGTTTGTTTTATATATAGAGAAAAAAATGGTTTATCTTAAGGAATTACTTTATATGAGAGCTATGTTGAAGATAACAAATCCAAAATTCATGGGGAAGGTTGACAAGATGAATACTCAGGAAAAAGTCGATGTGCAATCTTTAGTGTGTAATTTGTAGAGCAGGCTGCCAGAGTAGAAATTCAGGTAGTAGTTCTGTTACAGTCTTGAGGCAGAATCCCTCTTCAGAAAAATGATAGTTTTTGCTCTACATGTCTTCAACTGATTGAATAACCCCCCCCCACATTAACAAAAGTAATACCCTTTATTTAAAGTCAACTGATTGTAATGCATTATAAATACATAAATACAAGTCACATCTACCAAATGCCTTTACGATAATACCTAGAATAGCATTTGTTCAAACAACTGGTCACCATAACTTAGCCAAAATAATAAATAAAATAAAACATTATACCATCTCAAATGTCAGTTTCTCTATAAAGTTTACAACAAAATGCAATTCATTCAGTCAGTTCAATATAGAGGCATTTATTAAGTACCTACTCCATACAAGTGACAGTGGTAAAAGTTAAAATTTAAAAATGAGAAAGTCACAGATTCTTTTTTATGGAGTGCTGTTTAGGGAGAAAAAAACATTATTATCATTGCCAGTGCATCATCACTATCCATAGCTGATATCCATAGCTACCATGTTGATAACTAACATTCACTAAAAGTTCTGCTGTAACCATTTATAAGGTTACCTTATCCCCCCCCACCCAAGAATCCAGTAACACCTACATGTTACTGTGCTTTGCCCAAGGTTTCTGAGATAGTCCATTATAATGCCAGGATTTAATCCCAGATGTGATCTGAATCCTTGCCCCATGGATGAGTTCAGAGGAAAAACCTGGGTCTCACAGGAAATGATGCAGAATCACAAGAATTCTGAAAAAGGGTACATGGTGCCTGCAAGGGCAACAAATTATGGATTGGACCATTTTTTTCATTCATATTTAAATATAATTATTGATATGGATGGATTTATAATTGTCATTTTACTATTCAGTTTATAAATGTGCCTTTTTATATTTTTATTTTCTAGGAGTCTTAACTGCTTATGCATAACTAAGTAGTGGTAATCCAATGAACCCATAGTCTTTGACCCTCTGTTGTCTTTCTGTGTATAGGTTATGAAATGCATTCAAAGGAACAGCCAGTTTCACTTGGCTTACACTTGTTCCTGGACTCTTACTGTCTCCTCTGTACAATCAGAGCTTTACAGCCAGCCTTTTATTGGTTCCTTGTTTCTAGGATCTCCCTGTTAACTTCCTAAAGGGGTGCTGCTGCTCACTCCAATAAGAATTGCAATTGGTCCAGCAAAATGTAGTTTCTTCATCTGCTTTCAACTGAACTCACCATGTTTAGCTGACAACACCATTCTCATAATCTCACTTCCCAAAATTAATTCTGATCCCTCTGGCAGCAAAACTGCTGGGTATTGTGCTCATCCCTAGGCCAGGGAATTTACAGTACGCACTGACAAGCAATGTATATGAGTATCCCAAGCAAGAACATCAGAAACTATTGCTATTTTTAACCTAACACTTTAATAGTTTTTCAAGCATGAAATTTTCAGTTGTCTTGTCATTGAAGTTGTTAGTGACAATTTTGTCCAGTTTTATGGACACTTATTCGTAGACCAGAAACCCTCCTTAGTAATATAACAGCTTCCAAATATATGCAAAAGTAACTTGAAGGGCTGGAGTTGTGGCTCAGTGGTAGAGCACTTGCCTGGCATGTGTGCAACCCTGGGTTCAATCCTCAGCAATGCATATAAATAAATAAATAAATAAAATTAAATATCCATTAAAAAATAATTTGAATTAAGTGATGAAAGATAAATCCATGTTAATAGTCTACATGCTTAAGTTTATATTACCATATTGGTATAATAATTACTTTGAAAAGACCATAAATTTTCAATATACTGATTTTTTCATTGTGGATTTCAACATGATTCTAGGAACACTCTTTAAGACTTCTATAGTAGAGAAGCTTGCTAACACACACTGAAATTATCCCAAAGGAGGCATATGTTCATAGTCTTGCTAACAGGTCATCTTTTATGCTTTCAGTAAGGTGATACTGATATTTGTTTGAATAAAGCATATCATAAACCTAGACTTACAGGAAAAATTACTTTATTCATTATATTGGCTCATATTTCACCCAGGTTTCCTTATTCAGACTAGTCTGAAATTTTCTAAAATTAGTATAAATCAGTCCAAATAATTTCAAGCTAAACAACATTTTTCTTTTTCCTCATTTGAATAAAATGCTCTTCTCTCAGTTTCTCTGTGCCTACTTTCAGGGATAAAAATATTTTTAAATCATCCAAAAAAAACTTAAAGCAAGTTATAGGAAACAATAGGAGAGTAACTTGTGATTTAACCCAGCTTTTAATTTTACATGAATAAATATATATTTCCACTTCATGAACATATTGCAATTAATCCATACAAATACCTACTAACAGAGATTTCATTATTTCCATTTTTCACTATCATGAACAATAATTCAAGTGAAAATTCTTAAGAAGTTTCTTGTATTTGTAAGATATAAACCTAGAAGTTTATATGTATGAGAAACTTTGTCTTCACTAGATAATTTTGAATTCTGATTTGTTCAATATTCAGGGCATTATCTGTACACAAAAGTTTCCAATTCTTTATACTTTTGATATCAGAGTTATTATATTTTTCCAACCTTACAGCTATAAAAGTAAACTCATATGGTTGTTTTAATTTATATTGCCCTAAATGCTAATGAGATGAATATCCTTTCACATATTTGTTGATCATTTATTAGAGAGAAAAAAGAAAGACAGAGGCAGATGGGATGGGGATAGTGGGAGGGGAACAGAGATCAGAAGAATATAAGGCTATATGAATACTTGGAAATATAGAGTTATACAAGCCTAAGTTTTATTAAATTATTTTCACTACATTTCGTGATGTTTAAAATAACAATTTTATTTTAAAAATTAAGTTTTAAACAAAATTAGACTTTGAGTTAGTTCTGCACATTGAAGGTGGTATATGCTATATGTTGGCTCTTTTTTATGTTAATATAGTTAATAGCTATAGTTAATATTGGAGCTAATTTTGACATAATTGTACAAATTTATTGGATACTTCTTCAGTCCTCTGTACTTCCCCTTTACCTCCTTTCTTCCCTCCCCCTGTTCCCTTTCCTCTATTCTACCAGTCTCCTATTTTCTTATTTTTTTAATTAATGCATTATAAATACATAACAAAAACTGATTCAGAAAATAGTTAGCACTTACTCGTAGACCAGAAATCCTCCTCATGGTAACCTGGCGGTTTGAATCATGGTGTCCAGAAATTTGGTTTGGACCCGGGAACATGAAATCTCTTGTATTTTCATCATATGTAGACAGTGTTTCACCCACTACAAGAAAGATATCCTATGATTCAAATTATAACAAAATATTCTATTTAGAAACCAAATCATCAAGTATAACATATATATATTGCCTGATGTCTTATTAGATACCTACTCCAGGGCCGTGTTTATCTTCTATGAAAGAAAAATTAGACACATATTAAATATTTTAACATGTTTTCAATTTCAGAAATATACTACATATTAGCAATTTTCAACTCCATGCTTGAAGAAAATGGGGCTATTCATGTAAACTTGGTGCATACCTATGAGTTCCTAGAAAAAAATCCATTCAAAAATAAAAAGATGGGGGCTGGGGTTGTGGCTCAGTGGTAGAGTGCTCACCTAGCATGCACAAGGCACCAGGTTCAATCCTCAGCACCACATAAATGTAAAATAAAGATATCGTGTCCACCTAAAGCTTAAGAATAAATATTTTTAAAATAAATAAAGAAATAAAAATTAAAAGTTGGGCTCGGCATGATTGCACACACCTGTAATCCCAGAGGCTGGGGATGCTGAGGCAGGAAGATGGCAAGTTCAATGCAAGCCTCAGCAATGGTGAGGTGCTAAGCAACTCAGTGAGGCCCTGTCTCTAAATAAAATACAAATAGGACTGAGGATGTGGCTCAGTGGTTGAGTGCCCCTGAGTTCAATTATTGGTGCCAAAATGAATGAATGAATAAATAAATAAATAAATAAAAGTTGGTGTGACATTTATACATCTAAAATGTAATTACCACTCTCTACAATTTCTCTATCTCCCATTTTTCCCTTTCTGCCTATCTGTTAAAAAAAATAATTGTATAATTTGTACAATTTGTGGCTACCTGAATTAGGTATATATGTAATATTTAAACTTTTCAGGTTACTAGCATTTAATAATATACATCTGATTTTCACATAAAATAATGATTTGATTATACAGATTTCTCCTCAAAATCAGAAATAAAACTAGCACCTATTTGAATGACGTATCTTATCCAGGGATCTAGGTTTACTATATAACTAAGGATATATTCCCTTCCATTCTCAATAATAATCAACACACAAAAGCAGGGTTAATTGACTATCAAAAAATATATATTTTAGAAAAATCTCAAAAACAATCAATTTTTAATGACTAAAATATCCTAGAATGTTAACAGGTTACATTCCGTTTTCAGTTATTGTTATTTATCCAATTTCAGAACAATGGGCTTAAGTACCAATTTTTATGTCAGTCTCTCTATATTATTATCAATCTTATGTCTATCTTTCTATATTATTTTGGCCCATTGGCATTTTACACATAGTGAACCAATGGTAAAATATCAACTTTGTTTTTAATTTGAGAAGGAGAAAAGATGAGATTTTTTTAAAAAATACTTCATTGAAATGATTTCCCATATCAATTACTTTACCAAATAAGTCATACAGTACCTGGTGGAACTAGCTGTATCAACTCGAACACTGCTGTATCATCTGAGAGTTTAAAGAAAAATTTCCTTAAGTAAACAATTTAATAATAAACAAAAACAAATTATTTTAATCTAAAAGCCAAAGTAATCACTGACAACAGGTATGTTTGTATCTAGTAGACTATATTTTTTAAAAACATAAATTGTCTATTACTTAATTGGAGTGGTAAGTATAGTTGAGGTGAATTATAAAATTCCTTATACTTTTAATATGTCAAAATATCTCATAATAACCTTATAAAATATAAATAAATAAATTACACCCTTTCTACTTTCTGAGGACCCAAAAATGATATAATCTCCTCCTTTCTTTACTTTGTCATTTTCAAACAATGAAAATCTCATTTAATGTCCTATCTATATATTTAACCTATAAAGAAATATATAACAAAGGAATAAATATTCCCTTTAAGTCATAACTTGTGGCTATACTGAGAAAAAATATATATAATCCTCCTTCTTAAGAACCTTGAATTCCATTGAGAAAACAAACATTAAATAAAATGGAAACACAAATAAATATACAATTATAAACTACAAGTACAACACGGGCATTGTAGATAGTGCTATCAGATGGTATAACAACAGGTCCTATTCTAGTCAGGAAGGCAGTGAAAGCATCTCTGAGAAAGTAATCCTAATCTAAAGCATGAGTAAATTATAAACTGGGATTTAGGGATACTAGGGAAGTAGTTTATTTTATTTTTTCCCCAAGCAGAAGAAACAGCATAGGCAAAGGCTCTAAATATAACATTGCAAGGCAATCTGGGAGATTAGGTAGCTCAAAAACAAACCTCCTTCTAAAATCCATTGGAAAATGTAGAAAACTTAAAAAAAAAAAAAAAATGCTTAAAGGCACAGGAGACCAAGTGTGAAACTCATGTAAGAAGGAAAGACAGATGAGCCTGTCATTTGAGGCTATTTTCTCTGTTGGTATCAGACAATTCTGATAGAGGCAGTTAAGAGGATGAGAAGCTGAAAACAACTTCTGATAAACTCATGAAAAAGATGAATAAACCTTGGAGTTTCCTGGCCTTGGGAAGAGCAAGGAAAAAAGACCTGGAAATAAAGACCAATGACCTGATACACTGGCTGAATTATATGTTTGGATCACTGAAAAGATAAACTCTAAATAAAGAATAAAATAAAAATAAATAGCCAAATAGAAATATAAATTTGAAATATAAATCCTGTCTGAATTAACATAATACAGAATTGCATGCCTCCTACCAATTTGCTAAAATAATCATAAATCCTAACTGAAGGAAAACATTTTCACAGAAAACTATAATTATTTTTAAAATTTTTATAAGGTCTAGCATTTAAGGAGAACTGACTGGATACATATATAGGAAAATATATAACTGGGATCAAAAGTCAAGAGAAATAACAGGAAAAAAAAAGAGATCAACAGAAGGTTCAGAAAATCAAGTTATTAGACAGGGATTTAAATTTTCCTAATAGGACTTCCCATTAGTAATCTGGTATGTATTGAGCTTAGAAGTCTTTACCCTAACAAGTAAAATGCTGAAATTCACCATTCTTCTTAGATCCATGAGAAAAGTGAGGTCACAGGAAAAACCACTTTCCCCAAAATCAGAAAGACAAGTTGATATAGAGACTTACAACTTAACACAGCAGAAATCCACAGGCAAAAATCATCTGTGGGAATCAGTGCTAGAGGAGAAAAACCTGAATTATAACTGACAATTTCTGGAGGCTTTGTAGGGACAACTCTGAGATCTAAGTTTAGAAAGACCCTGTCATGGGGTAAGAGGTCATATTTTGTGAGTTTTACCTCCAGGACTGTACCAGGTCCTCACTGTGAATATTGGAGAAAAATCCTCTTATACCTCCAGAGCAAAAGGATGCATATGGAGTATTCCAGAGCATTCTCTTCTTAACATTACCTTCCCTCAGGAAAAAATAATTGAACTACAGTTCAAATCTACCCAGAGGAAAGGAAATGTCCAAATTCAGCCAGCTCTAGGCTTGTCCATGGGGGAAGGAAACTACCAAACTATATACCCCCCATCTAGCCTTCTTAGCCTTTTACATGGATAGCAATTATTATTGTTACTCAGGATAGCAATCTGAGTAACAATAATAACCATGCTGTATTAAATGTCTTATATGCACCAAGCATATTATGCAGGCTGTGTTATTTCATTCAAACAAGACCTTATGCTTACAGAAGGAAAGCCATTTGTGCAGCTAGCATTCAACTGGCTATAGAGTCTGCAGATGATAGTGCCCCTTTGAGTGATAATATTATGTTTTGACAGTCCTATAATTTTATCATGCATTTTAAACAGATAAATTAAAAGATATATATTGAATTTTAAAAACTCTATCCACATGGTATTCATAAGACATATATGTAAAATATTAGGGCACAGGAAAACAGAAAATAAGAATATAGAAAAAGATATAACATGTAACAATTAAAAGACAACCAGTTTAACAATATTATAAAAGAAGAAGTAGTCTTAAACTAATTTCATCAAAGATCCATTTCATCACTTCATAAATCCCTGGGAAGACTAGCCAAAAGAAAACACACAAAATTACAAATATCAGGAATAAACAGAGACACAAAAAGATGTTTAAAAATACTAGGAGGATATTATGAATAATTCCATGCTACTGAATTATTGGATATACCTTATTTGCATCTCAATTCCAATAAAAAAAAACATAAACAGCCATAGAACAATTAGGAAAATGTGACCTAAGGAGATATTTTATATTAAAAAATTGCTCACATTTTAGGTGTGACCAAGTCCTGTATTTTAGATATTCATATATCTATAGATGAAAGGATATGACAGCTAAGATTTACTTCAAAGTAAGAATATATGAATAAAATCAAATTTCTACAAAAAGAAAACTTTAATCCAGACAAATTCACTGGCAAATTATTTCAATTTTTTTAAATGCCAATTATATGCATACTCTTTCAAGAAACAACAAAAGAAGGAACACTTCCCAAACTGTTTTATGATAGCCCATCAAAACCTTGATACTAAAACCTGACAAGAACCTCACAAGAAAAGAAAATGACATTCTATATGTAAAAATCCTAACCCAAATATTATCAAATCAATTCCACCAACATATAAATGTGGCTTAATATTAAAAAAATAAAGCAATATGAGGTGCCACATTAAAGAATAAAGTAGAAAACAATGGTTCATAAAATTGAGCCATCATTACTTACAAGGAAAAAAAAGCAGCAACAAAAACAGAAGAAAAATGTCTTAATCTGATAAAGGCTTTTAACTAAAATCTAAAGTAAGCAAATATCAAGTGGTGAAAGTTGAAACTTTCCCTCTGAGGTCAAGAGTAAGACATTTACTTCATACATTGCTATTACTGCTATCATTGACTTCAACATTTTACTGGAGTTCTAAGCAATATAGTAAAGCAATAAAAATTAATAAAAGATATTATAATAAGAGAAATATATTTCTTATTACTTAAGGAGATGTGTGTTTAAAATATCTTAAAGAATCGTAAGTCATATTTTTTAAAATTAATGCACATAGCAAGTTTGCTAGAAACAAGATCAATTATGCTGAAGTCAATTGTATATATTTTCTGTACCAGCAACAGTTAGAAACAGCATTGTAATCTGATTTAAATGAGATTACAATCTGGTTTAAAAGTATAAGGTATCTAGAAAAGTACTGGAAAATACTTCTCAAGATTGTTACACAGAAAATCACAAACATTATCAAGTGTAATTAAAGAAGAGTTAAATATTAATAAAGGATTATATATGCTTGTAAGACATCAACCAATCACAAGGTATGGTGGATAGATAGATAGATAGATACACAATTCAAGTAGAAGACTACTTGAAAAATTATAAAATAGTCAGGAAAATGAAAAATTAGTGGATATTTGTTAAAATTAAGAAAGTGTTCATTTTAGGTGTGATACAGTATTACTGTTCCTTTAGGTTAGCTATCCTTATAAATAAAGGAATAAGATGTCTTGATATTTGCTTCAAATTAATCTGAAAAGGGGAGCTGAAATAAGGAGATATAATTAGATAGAAAAATATTAGCCATAAATTGATAATTACTAAACTAAGGGGTAGGTACATGTTTTCATTATTTTCTTTTGTATACATGTAAAATGTTTTCCAATAAAAGATTTTTCATGCTTTTGATTAGAGAAAAGCTGTGTGTGTATGTGTCTGTGTGCGCGTGAGTGTGTGTGCAGTCATGCTTTGTAAATATTACCATTGTGCAAGAACTAAAATGAAATACTGCCTCAACCCGCTAAGATGGCTACTATTAAAAAAAAAAATAACAGCAAGAAATTGAAACCCTTATGCAGTTAGTGGGAATGTAAAATTGGTTTAGCTATTACAGAAAACAATATTGGTGGTTCGAAAAAAATTAATTCCCATATGATCCAGCAATTGTACATCTGAATATATATGTATAAAGCAACTAAAAATAGAAACTCAAATAATATTTGCATTCTATTATAGTCTGGATTTGCAATATGCTCCAAAGGCTCATGTGTTAAGTCTTAGTCCTAGATGATGGTGTCAATGGAAAATTGTGTAAGCTGTAAAAGGTGGGGCCCTGGTTGAAGAAAGGAGGTCACTAGGGTTGTGACTTTGAAGTATCTATTTTGTTCCCATCCCCTGCTTACAGCCACCATGAGGTGAACAGCTTTGATCCATCATGCCCTTCTGCCATGATGTACTGCCTCACCACAGGCCCAGAAACAATGGAGCCAGTTGACCATGGACTGAAATCTCTGAAACCAAAAGCCAAAAAAATAAGTCTTTCCTCCTTGTTTTCTAAGGTATTTTGTCATGACAATGAAAAGCTGCCTAACACATCCACATGTGTTCACAGCAGCATTATTTACAATAGATAAAAGGTAGAAGCAATCCACGTACTCACTGACAGGCAAAATGTGGTGCGAACATACAATATTATCCATCCTCAAAAAGAATGAAACTCTGACGTATGCTACAAC